GTCCCACTAACTGCTGGACCTTTTCCTGGGAGTTTTCCTGAATTGCCCCATTGCTGATGCCTGAGTCCCAGACAAATCCCTCTGCAAGCCTCCAGGGATGAAGGCCATTACCAGGGCCATTGAGCATTCACTTCACTGTAAACTACTGGGATTTTTTTTTTTTTGCTTTTGCTTATTTTTTTCTTAAAACTAACAGGGTTCTTTCCACACAAACATCTTTCCTGGTGTCTGTGATACTCTGGTTTTCTAGCTGCTTGTCTGGCACAATTTTCAGGCACACCACAGGACTGAGCAGTCCCAAACAGGCCAGCAAGCCATGGGGCATCTCTGCAAGAGCTGGGTCAGCAGGGTTCCTCCGAGGGGACAGTGAGGGTCTCCGCTATGCCACAGGCCAGTTTGCCTTCTGCCTGTTCTCGTCCTCTTTGAAACCCTCCTGTCCTCCTCTCTCCCACTAGGTGGATCGAATGCCCTCCCTGCCTTCAGCACCACCACTGTTGGGTGCCAAGACCGCCCAGCTTGTTGCCCAGAAAAGCCATCACCGTGTTCCTGTGTGAGGCAGGAGACGTGCAGGGCCCCTTGCAGGGCTTTGCCAGGGCGCAGGGTGCTCAGGCAGGAGGTGTCCCGTCAGCAGCAGCCCCAGCTCTGGCAGCTTTATGCTGGCGTGGAGGAGGCTGGGGCCTGAGGTGGAGATGGCAATATTGCACCGGTAATTGCTCCTGTCTGCTTTAGTGCAGCAGTAAATGAACCAATTGTATTTATAATGATTTCACTCATATAAGCTATGGCTCCCTAAATCAAGCTCAACCATTTGTGGCTGTAAGAAACTTCCATCTCCAGCAGCAGTTTCAGTGATAAAGCCTGGAGGATTAATAATGTGTTAATAACACAACAGCAGGAGTCTTTTCATTTTCAAAGCATTTTATGGGCAGTAACTATCTGTTCCCTGCAACTACCTGGATGGCAAAGATGGGGAAACTGAGGCAGGGCTCAGTGCTCTCTCTCAGAGCCAAGGAAGCCTCTCCAGCCCATGCCATTCAGGGGCAGCAGACACCCTGTGGGACCCCGGTGGGCTCCCATCGCCCCAGGGTGTGCAGAGAGCACCCATCCACAGCCCGGTGAGCAGCGTTGGCACCTGCCCGGGAGCTGTCACAGCCTGAGCCTGCTCTCGTTTGGCTGCTTTGCAAGTCCCAGCCACAAAGCAGCCGGAGCCCGGCGGGCAGCAGCGTTGGTGGCTTTGGCCTGTGAGCGCGCTGTGCCTCGACCACAGCCCCAGACGTGACCCCGCGTTACGAGAGAAAATGGGGTTCGCTCCAGAAGGGAGGGACCAGCAAACATGGGCCAGGCAGGGAGCAGCGTCTGGGCAGGAGCTGCCTGGGGAGAGCAGGGCAGGGTTGGCTCCCGGCTGCGGGCACAGGGAGGTGCAAGAGGGGGGGTCGCTGCCTCCGCTCTGCCCTGGGCTAGGAGTGCCCCAAATGGGGAAGCCCTGGAGGCCAGTTGCTGATGCATGTCTAATATTTCAATTATTGCTTTCCCAAGTGATAATCGGGTACGTGTGAAACCGAATCACATTTCTGTCACAGCCTGCTGTCCCCAGAAGAGGGCTCAGCTGCAGTCCTGAGGCTGGGAGAAATTGTTCTGGGCGGTCTGGGTGTCACTGTCCCTGCTGCCATGCGCTCTCCATGCACGGGACACTCCCTCGCACACCCCACAAGTCTCCCAAGCCCAGGTCTGCCCTGAGGTCTTTGCTGGGGAGGAACAGTGATGGTGGCATGAGCACCATGGCCAGGCAGAGGCTGGGCACATCAGGGACACCAGGAGGGAACAGATATTGAAGGGTTTTGGGGGCTGGGGGCAGGGAACAGGGACAGCACGGGTGAAACAGGGAGTGAGGTGGTGAGGGGGAGCTGTGCTTGCTCACTGGGTGTGCGTTTGGGTGGAGGAATTAGTTCTGGATCTTTGCCCAAATTGATATTGCCCACACCAACAACCCCCTATGGGCAGGCAGCGGGCAGGTGGAGGTGCCCCACTCTGGACCCCCACCCTTCACGGGGGGGAATGTCCGGGTGCTGCCGCTGCTGGGGGTGCTCGGTGCGGGGCAGCACCTGGGAGAGATGTACGGGGTGGGGGGGAACCCCGGGACACCCTCAGCCGTGCAAGAGTGGGTGAGCGGAGGGAGGTGGGTGCTGCAGAGGGGTGTCACCAGCGATGGGGACAAACTTTCCACCCGTGTTAGCGGCGGGGACACCTCTAGGAGTTCTCTCGGTGCCGTGCCGGGCCGTACCGGTGCTGGGCGCTGCCGTGCACCGAGGGAGGGGCGGATGAAGCGA